TCAGAAATGCCAATTTCCATCACAATTAGCCTAAGTTATGCAACATATTTTTGTTCCTTTTTAGTATATAGGTGATGTATGTTTTTATAATTTGCTTAACTGCCTATAGTGAAATTTTAAAATCACATAGACCATATAAAACCATAAAAGAAAGGGTACCTTTTTATTTTTCCCAATGTACCATGTTTCTACCTTGCTTATAGAGCCTGTACAAGAAACACTGTTCATTTCTATATAAAGATTTCCATTAAATTTTTATAGTTTCTATAAATGCATAAAGATTGTTGGTTTCATTATAACCTCTGTTTCAGTGCCAGTGGAAAGAAAAATTACCTGCAACTCTAAACAGCCATCTACATATATGGGGGGCGGGGAGGGTAAGTGTGCTCAGACCTCCGTTTAAAGAGCTCTAAGACACTCGCTGTATTTCACCAAAACATAGATGAGTACACTGGAGAAGCAACTTCCAGCACACTAAACTCTACTCGCCACTGTTAGCACAAACAGGCTATAAAAAGTGCAACTGTGGGAACAAATTATTAATTCTACATGTTTTAGTATAACAAGTAATCGTATTATAACTAATACGTTTTAAAACGGTATGTGTGATGCCTGATATATTTGACACATTACAAGGCTATTTACAGAAGTCTTCTCTCAGATAGGTTACTATAGCTTTATCCCAAATTATCCCACGCTACACAGTATAATTACTAAAGACTCGTTTTTTTGATCTGAAAAATCATATAATGTTTTGAAGCCAAAGATGGGATTTTGATGGGAGTGGTGACCAAAGTTTGCTAACATGTTAATTTAGCTATCCTTTTCTCCCTTAATTCAATTAGTATTCATTAAAACTGCACTAATCACAATGAGTAAAGTTTTACCAATTATTTCCATAATTATGAATGAATACAGTAAGCATAACAGAATAATTATAAATCCACTTAATTAACTAAAAGCCTATTTCCGGGCAGGGAAAGATATTCGTATTTTGTTTTCTTTTTAATGCTAGATTGACATGTTGATATCTTTGAGAAACCATTTCTAGAAATGAAAGAATTACATTATTATTGTGACTCTGCTTGAGAAAAAAATTTTCTATTGGACAGGCTGTATTAAGAGCCACATTATCTAAGGTTATAATAAGAGATTGAAAAGGATCTGGTTTAAACTACCAAAATCCAAGTAACTCAAAAACTGCATCTGTACTTTAGTAATCTTAACCCCCCCCCAAAAAAAAAAAATTAGATTTCATAGTATTAAGCTTATGAGAGATAAGAATTTTTTAATTTCATAAGGAAAGTTTTTTTTAAATGCAGGATCCTTTTCAAGTCAGGATTCTATCAATGTTGGCGTTTTAGTATTTAAACTCGTTGAGCATTAAACAAAAGCAGATGAATAAATAATGTGAACTCTGAAAAGACCTTGCTTTCTGTCTTTCCTGTTGTTTTCCTTTTTTAAAAAATAAAAGCACTGTGTGTCTTTCTGAAATTAACAAAGCCCGTACTTTCAGGTTTAAAGACGGCCGGCTTACCAGATTTTAAATGAAATATTGAGTGCTACAGTGATTTAATGGTTTTAAACCATAGATGTCACTGCGGTCTGAGGGTGTCTCAGACAACTTAAGGAAGAAAAAAAATGGGGCACAGAGAAATCACTTTGTCAGTAATTACAATCAAGAGCCCTAAAATGTGGCACAGACTGCTCATTACTTCTTCCTTCTGTATCAAGACCCTTATTTACATTTCAGATTACATTTTTTATGAAACAGTAAGATCTATCAGAGCCGAGAGGACTGAAATAATGAGGGGAAAACATTTTAATAAAACGTGTTGGGTCTGCATTACTTCCGTGTCAGAAAGAAAGGCTACTTCTGTAGTGATGGATCATTTATTCTGCTTTAAAACGAGAAGCAAAAAGATGAAACTGATGAACTTTTACTGCCCATTTGTCTTTAGCAGACAATTAAGACAGAGAAGATCAAAATGGATTATCATACCACGCAGACAACTGGCCCAACAGTAATACATCTCCGGGACCACAGATTTGTAACTCTCTTTTATCCCTCCCCTTTCTTCTTACTTCTTTTTCCACTCTAAAGGCAGTGCTAGCTTTGTGGCTCAAGGAGAGCCAAAAGGCTGGTCATCATTATTCAGTCACAGATGTCAATCTAACCTCCCTTTTTTCTCAGTTTCTAAAGCAGTGAGCCACAATAATTTGTGACAGATTCTTTTACTGTAAGGTACAAAGAACACACAGAATAAAACATCTAGCAGCAGCAAGCGTCTCTGATCAAGTGTGCTGGTACATGGGAAACACACAAATGTAAAAACAAGCACTGGTAGTTAAGGCGAATGAAAAGAAAAACGGGGGGGAATTTGTGCGTGTGCATGTGTAGTAATACGTGCTATAGTTTGTTTGAATTATCTCAAATATTCCTTATGGATCACATCATAAATGTTTTAATACGAGAAATGTTGTCTAGATTAAGTGCATATTCAGCATTTAAGGTTTGTATGTAATAAAAATATTTCTAAGAATTCCTTTATAATAGCACACCAAGGAGAAAGAATTTGGTTTAATCCAACAAACGCTAAGAAGAGAAAACATGTTAGATCAGAACCCGAATGATAAAAGGGTAAATAAGAAACATGCAGGGCTCATTTCCTTTACCAGTAAATCAACTCTCAAATAAATTTCTGGGAATTTGGAGGTAACTTCATCAAAAATAAAGCAGATTTGTCATTTATCTTTCGTTCTTGAGTTACATGCGGAAAAGAAAACCATGTGTTGAGTCAAGTTGGAGGAGATGCTAAATAAGGCAGCGATGTGCACACACCCTCATAAGGCTACAGCTAGCCATGCGCATCGTCCTCCAAATTTCAAAACTATGTCACTGATCGAAACAAAGAAAACAAACTATCTAACCAGTGAGCTTGTTAAAACAGCTGAAAGCTATCATTATTTTTTTAGGCTCTTATAATTTTTAATAATTCCAACGTCAATATATGAAACACTTGTAAGATCATCCATTAACCAAAGTAAAGAGAACAAAGTTGATAACAATATCTAATCTGTAAACCAGGCTCTATGTGCAATGACAGAATTAATAGTAGTCTATATTTCTCTCTGTGTACACAAATACACTATATATACACATAAGTATGTATAGTACCTGTATACACATATACTCTTCTCAAACACACAAACATATATATACATATACATATATATACACACACACACACACACACATATATATATACGTATATATATATACTCAGAAATAAACATGGAAAAATAAACTTCAAATTGTCATAGTGGTTATCTCTGAGTAGTAAAATTACAGATGGCCTGTATTTTCTTCTTTTTCATCCTTTTATTTTTTGATTTATCTATATTTCAAAAAAAATTTTATCATGAACATATTATTCATGTGATTTTTAAAAGTTATACCAAAAAAAACCCATGTTGCTCACAAATTTTCAGATATAGTAAGAAATGATGTTTAAAAGAATAGATCCAGATGTTAACCATGTCATTTTAAGTTTTCACCTACAAAACTTTCTTTCACTGGGTAATTCGGATCATGAGACCATGAAGGTTATTTACCTAGACACAAAATTTTAGAATAATGATTTTTTAAGAACTATGCCTCAAGTCTATTCAAAATAATACTTTAAGATTTTTCTACCCTTTTAGAGATTTTTTTAAGAGAAAAAAATCAAAAATCATTAATAAAAAGGTTTTATAATCTTTGGATTGTGTAGTTTAAATCCAATGGGCTCGATCTCACGGCAATTGAAGGCAAGATAAATTTAACTCTCCAGCTGGAAGATGAAGAAAGGGGTAGAGTGAGAAAATTAATATTTTTTTAAATCTCATTTAAAAGTCTTGAGATCACACACAAAGTACACTATACCAGTTCTCTTGGGTTCTTGTACAATAAAATCTCATTACAAAGCATCTCATACTGATTATCCAGTTGTATTCCTGGTCACAATATGGCCCCTGAATTCACAGAGATGTATCAGATACCTTGCCCTCTACACAACAGGCCACACTGCAAAGGTGTTACTACTATTGTACTGGATATTTCTATTCCATTCTACCGATCCTCATTCAAGGACATTTTTTAACAAAAAAAATTAAATGGATGTACTTCAGAAACATGTGTTATTGTGTATAATATTCCACATGTGAAATAACTTCATAAAGTTGTTTTTATTCAGTGTAATCAAGAATGATTTTATTTCCAAACTGCTTTATAAAAGCATACCAAATTGCCTATCTGAACTGAAAATGTAAGGTGCCCCCAAAAGCTGCAAAACATGTCGAATGTTTAAGATAGAATCTGGAATCCAGAATGTATAACCTGGATCTAATTATCAAGAGTAGAGCAGCACCAGAACGTCAGCAGTAGTTCCTGATTAAAATAGTTCCTTCCACTCCATTCCATGCTTGCAGAACATGGGAAATTCAAGATGGCAACACCAACTGGCTGATCTTC